ATATATATATACACATGTATACGTACACGTGCATACTGTGTATATATATATATACATACACAGATACCTATATATTTATATACATATACAAACATGTACAGATATTAATCGCGCAAACCCGGACGATTCGACGATACAGCTAGAGGAGGCCACAGACGGAACGGCCTAAGCCCCTCAAGTGTCTGCATGCGGAACTTTGGGTTTAGGGCTGAATGTAGGGGCCTAAATAACTACCGATACTATTTTTAAGCGGGGGGTTCCTGATTATGATTGGTGTAGAATGGGCCCCAAATCCCCGTTTTCACTGATGAGGCCCCTATATTAGGGCCTAAGTTTACGGGCTGAACACGGAAACACCAGCTGTTGGGTGGCTCCGCAGCCTTAAAACTCTGCATCGAATCCTCCAAGTGTTCGGACAAGCCGGAACGGTTAACCCTGGACACCAGTCTAGAACCTTGCTTGTAGAAGCCCCTGCAAGCATAGTACCTGATAGAAGCCTCAATGGAAAACCCACAAAGACATGTTAGTTTGGCGTGATCAAGTACGAGAGAGGGCCGTCGCCGGAGCATATGGCCTAAACCCTGAATGAACACAGAAACAAACTCTAAAACCCTGAACCCTACTAAACCAGACCCCGCAGGCCTCCCGCCGCCGACCGGGCCGGTGAGACACTGCGGGCGCCGGGGCGGCTTAACCTCAGCATCTTTCTTTGTTTTATTTGGAAGACTTTTTCGGCTTAGGGTTTAGGGTTTCAAGTGTAGAGTTTTAGGATGGTTTAGAGCTTCGCAAAACCTGGTGCGCTTCTTGATTTGTGCGTTGAGGGGTTTTAGGGCTCGGGCTTTAGCCTTACTCACTGAGGGATGCAGGCGCCTTGGCCTGTAGAATTGAGGGTCTAGGAATTGCTCAAGCCTTGGTGTAAGTGTAAGGTCGTAGGAGGGGAAGTGTGTTTTTGGAGGAGAGGTTTAGGAGTTGCGCTTTACGACTTGGGAAGGATATGTGGGCGTGAATCTTACAGATCCGAACTAGTACCATCTTTCGATCGCTACAGCAGTTGCTGCATCCCAGTGCTTCACGGGGAGGTGGGTCATCAGATCACAATCGGTGCTGCAAGCGTGCTCGGAAGCACCCGGGATCAAGTGGAACATCTGGACTGAGATGCGGCCACATCGATGGCGCTTTGAAGGCATTGCTTCAGCTCTACCACCTGCACGCTCTGCAGGGGTGTTCCCGCGAGTGACAATGCAAACTCCACCAGCTGTGGCTTGCCAACGCTCCTCTTTCAACCCATAAACCCGCAAAAGCCAAAACCCAGACATCCTAAACCCCTAAACCCCGACCCCCCTAAGCCCTAAACCCTAAACCCTAGACCCTAAACCCCCTAACCCCCTAAACTCTCGACTACATCATCACCTCCAAGGCTGTATGTAAAGCATGACACCATCAGCATACCGCATCTTGGTCCGCCTCGGCTCTCCGAATTCCTTCAGGGTTTACTGGGCTTCGGGGGTTTAGGGTTTGGGGTTTAGGTTTCTGCTGGTGTTAGGGTTTAGGGTTGAAGGTGTCTTCTGGATTTTGCAGTCTCTGGCTTCAGCGGTTTAGGCCTCACGGCTGTTGGGCATTATTTCGCAATTGGGACTCTAAGGAGTTTAAGGCGTTTGAAATTTAGGGTTTCCGGGCCTGTACTGTTCTGTCCAGAAGGACTGCCAAAGTATGCACTCACCAGTATCCAAAGGAGCCTTGTCTACACCAAGAGCCCCTTGACAGTGTGAGGTCGCAGGTATGGCGAGAACAGGGTCATGTGATCGCTCTGAGATCTTTTTACTCCATCACGCCAGGAGTTGTTTGAAGAGATGTCTTGCATCTCTGTAAAGAAACTCACCGAAGGGACCTCGAATTCATGCTTTGCCCTAAAGCGTCCGCTCAGAAGAAGCGCTCTTCACGAGTGGATCTGTGCAGCAGAAGCAAAAGAGGTACGGCTGAGAATAAAGGCACCTGACCTGCAACGCACAGGCGGTGTCGAAAAGAAAGTCCTCAGCCACCCTTCCCTTCCCGACCCTCCCGGTCGGAACCGAATCCACCGGGCGGTGTGGGTGGGAGATGAAAAACTACGACGGAACGGCCTGATGAAAAGCTCAGCTGATCACAAGCACAAGTTCACACAACACAGAGTCTCGTGATTCACATGACTCCATGTGATCGCTCTGAGATCTTTTTACTCCATCACGCCAGGAGTTGTTTGAAGAGATGTCTTGCATCTCTGTAAAGAAACTCACCGAAGGGACCTCGAATTCATGCTTTGCCCTAAAGCGTCCGCTCAGAAGAAGCGCTCTTCACGAGTGGATCTGTGCAGCAGAAGCAAAAGAGGTACGGCTGAGAATAAAGGCACCTGACCTGCAACGCACAGGCGGTGTCGAAAAGAAAGTCCTCAGCCACCCTTCCCTTCAGGTTTCCGATCTGGCTTTAGCCGTCGAAAGGAACGTAGTTGCCCGGTTGGCCAGTGCAGTTTGCCAGGGCAACAGCTTAAGGTGCGCAATTGTCGCCACCGCATCTTGCAAATACACTCGTGCCGAGGATGTTGAGGCCCAACGCCCTCGAAGCAAGGTTCGCTCCATGCTCTGATACGCCATGAAATCTCAAGTGGCGCCTCCTCGGCGCAAAGAATAGACGTTTATATTTGCATCTGACAGACCGAACTCGGCCACAAACAGCTTGAAGCATTTACGGAAGAAGTCGGGGCCACGGCGAATGAGGAGTTCGTCACCAGACCTGCGGGCGCAAGCTCGACGAAGCCAGTTGATTGCAATTCGACTGTTGACCACAACCATTTCTTCTTGCCCCGTACGTTTGCCCGCTTTAGTCAACCCTAACCGCAAGGCCGCCCTTGACTCATAAAAAGTGACATCGGCAACCCGCAGCTGGTACAATTCGCCACTTCTCAAGATGCCGTCAAAGCAGATCAACAGGCCAGCAGCAATGTCTGGAAGTCCCAAACCCGCTGCCAACCCTGCCATGCCTAACACCAGGAGTGGACTCAGTGGCAGCACACGCATGGGTGGTTCCACCCTCTGCCAGACTTTAACTAGCTTCCAGGCCAATTTCAATCGACCCTGGCATTGAGGCAGGAAATACTGGAGCCCAGCAAGTCCATCACTGGCAAGCCCCTTGCGTTGACCATCTGCATATAGGAATTCAACCCAAGAGCTGGCAGCCTCACACAGCTCGCTGATTCGACGCATTGCTAAATCCGCATCAGAAAGATACGTCAGAAAGCACAGGACAGCTTGCGAGTAACGAGCCCGCATGGCGCGGCTGACCATCTGCTCATGCAGCGTCAGTTGTGGCCGCGCTCGCTGTGCGCATTTTCGGACCATCGGCTTGGGATATCTGAGGGATTATTTCCAGTGTCTACATACGCTACGGTCAACACAAGATTACCTGCCAGACACAGGGCATTGAGGACCATAAGAGCATGCTGCAACCGATGACTGCTTGTTCTGCCTTTGGCCACGATGGCACACACCACCTGTGAGTCAATTAGCAGCATCACCCGATGGTTAAGGTTGTCAGCTTGTCGCATACGCCACTTCACCGAGTTGACAACTGCTTGAAGTTCCAACACATTGATATGAGCCGAATGTCTCCAAGGATAACCGTGAACAATAGCCCATTTGAACAGATGGCTTTGCACTCCACTGCGAGGCCAGGCTTTAGCGCGGAAGGGAATACCCGCGTCTAAGCGCACGTCAGTTCCTCCTTTCTCGGCTATTCTTAAGAAATGTGTGACGAGTCGCTCAACCTCAGAGGAAGGCCCTACTTGCTTAACAAAGTTAGGGCGCTCAGTCCAGCATGCTGGAGCCACTCCCCGTAAGAAGAAGCCAGGGTTTTGTCTGGAACGAATACCACCAAAAGAGCCCAGCAACTCATCCAACACTACCATAACAGAAAAGACACAGTAAGTACCACCAATGATGCTTTCTCCCAATCTTTGACGGTCAACGCCTTTGTGTTTGGGATGAAGACCTTGACTGATATAGTTGTCATCAAAACCCATTAATCTCTCGCGCTCAGTCAACTTGGGCAACCGTAGGGATCCATCTTTACAAGTGAGCAGGTACTGTCGTTGATAACAGTCAACATCGAATCTGTATGAGTCGGCTTCCCACCTAGCAAGAGCATCAGCACCAGCCACACTGACCGATTCACTAGGATTATGCCGTCGAGGGCGTGGGCGCGTGAAAACAGGAATGAGATCCCCCACAAAAGTAGCCCATGAGCTCTCAGCGTCAACCCACGACGACTCTGGACTGCGTTGCACAGGAAAACGCCAATCATAATGTGTTTCCAAGTCTACTAAGACTTCACCACTCATAGGGTGGATGTCCCAACTAATCCAGAATAGCCTGGGCCGCCGCACCCAAGTAAAGTACTTCGAGTCGACCAAGTATAAGGCTTGTGGCCGAGCACCTCGTTGAAAGCTTTCACATTCTCCAATGGGATATTACCAACGTTCTCAACCATGAAGTGGACGGGGACCAGAGAAAGGTGCTGCAGGAGGTTTAAGATTCGAATGATTTCGAAAAAGGGATCATTCATTCCACACGAAAACGATGAGCGAGGTGCAGCAGCAGAGAGCAGCACAAAGTCCAGCCGATTTCCAACGGATGTCATCAACTTTGAAATGGTTTCGGCATCAATTTGTGCGGCCTTCCCAAGTTGAATAACCCCCGGGAACCCCGGCTGGTGCGGGACAATCGCAATTCATCACGATCTTCGGCCGACATGGCATACCCCTGCACAGCGCAAGGCAACCTTGTCAGCCCGCACATTACTGCACTAACGCCATCGAATAGCGACAATACCAGCACCCTGGGACCCCCTCTGCTTGGCTGTTGAATGCTACCTTGGGGTTTGATGCACTCTGTGTCAAAAGGGGCCGCATCCAATTTCATCAACAGCTTTTCGCCAGCATCCGTAAGCCCAGCCGATACACACATTCCGCCTCCCATTGTGGAAGCGTCTGAACACGTCACCAGCCCACTCACCGGCGTCCGCAAATCCATCACAGCCAAACACAGCAGCGCCCCTGCCGTGATAAGCTCAAAGGCGTGGTCAAAGGGAAGCGGAGTGGCGCGGCACCACATAGACTTCGGCCAGCATTTGTTGAGCAACCCCATAAGTGGGCGGCGAAACTCAAAGCAGCGCGTCAAGCGCGCAAGGAGAACCATTTTCATACGCGCCGACAGTACCGGACGACTCAACGTCCAAACGAGGAGCCAACCTGTTTCGAGAATCTTTATACGCGGTGCCGACAACAGCCCAGTGACCCCGTCCACCTCGGCACCCATACGTACAACACATGGTTCACGAACATGAGCCTTTTTCTCTGAGATCCCAATACCAATCCGATCATACGAAAGCCGCTGCTTGGCCTGCGTGGGCGACATCGTGTTAACCATGGTTTTCCATGTGTGCCTTGCAACCTTCTCCGGGCAATCAAAGTCATCCAAATAGTATTGGAACCACCTGCCCCCCGCGTCAACGGCACCCCGCGGGACAGGCCTGTCACGACGCCATTCATTGCTGGGCTCCAACCCAGCACCAACGGGCGCAGCCGCGAGCCCCGCTCGACGATGAAGGTGTTGGAACAAGCTGACAGCATTAATCCAACCCATTGGAATCACAGCTGAAGCGACGTGAACATAAGGAGTGCCCGGGCATCCCACCAATCGCCCAGGAACTGGCATCTTGAACGCCATGAGCTTTCGCCAGGCCTTAGGGAGCTTCCATGCATAAAAAGCCCCCTTCTGATCGTCACCAGACCAGAGCAGCACTTCATTGGGTAACAAATGGATCCCACTCCAATGGCTAGAACCGGCTAGAGTCGCGAGATCACCAGGCATCAGTTTTTGGAGCGAGTTGGCTGGCACCAAGTTCATAATCAGCCGCGTGACCCGGCACTCACCAGGGGCTGGCTCGCCACCTTTTTCAACCGCAAAAACACCATTCAGCACCGGCTCACCATCAACATGAAAAATCTCTTCCACCTCGATCGGAGCAACAATCCCCTTCTTATAAAGCACCGCCACATTCATGGATGCAGAGGGTAATGGATGAGGCCAAGCCGATGAATCAAGAAGAGCAACATCAGGATCATCCACCCAACACTTGACAACCTCATCTGCGATGCTGGAGGCGTCTAAGCTCCCTGCCACGCCATCCTCCGGTAGCCCGGGAGCCAACTCCTCAAGCCGAAGAGGCAAGGCTTTCAACACCGCATCACCCGTGTAGTCAACTTGCCGGGCCCGTATCAGTTCAGAAAAATCTCCAGGTGGCCGCACCTCGAGGGGGGAGCCAGACCACCAGGCACAACGCCTGGCCAAGCTCTCCAACGCGAGGTTTTGGCTCCGTGTTGCCACATGTCCACTAGCCGGCGCTAGCCTCTCCCATCCAGTGCCCATTCCATTCAATGTAATGACACTCAATAACCGCCAAGTCTGGAAGCATGCGGCACTAGCTGACTTTTTAAGCTGCTGTTTCCCCCCTTTCCGCGCCTCTGCCACTCGCCAAATGATGACTCCTGAGCCAGGTTGCTTGTGCTTCTTAACAAGGTTAAGGAGGGCGCCAAAGGCAGGAATGGGTAAAGGCAACAAGTCACGCTGCCGAATCCCCGCATCCCGCTTTTGAGTCCCACCGGCAAGAGGCGTGATGGTCTCGAGAAGTTCCGTGAAATGGCAAAAGTGGCCGCGGTCCCTAAGCGAAAGAAGCAGCAGCTGAAGGAGCGTAATGCCTAACTGTAGCCTATGCTGGCACTCAACTGTTGACATGATCTGTCCCGCTAAAGCATTGAAGGTAACATCCGGGGCCACATCCAAAAGTTGGAAAAGATCCCCCAGGCTTTGGGCCAGGGTATGCCCCCCCGCCTGGGGCGATGGCCCTCCCAGCCGTTCACTGGGTGCACCATCTTCACTCACCAGCCCCCTCACTGGCTCTTCCTGAGGTGCTCGAACACCCTGTCCTTCCATTTGCTTCGGCTCTCTCCTTCTCGACGCGGGGCTGCTTGCCGTGCCTGGGCCATCACCCCCGGAGCCTCCTGGTTGTCCTCCGCGAAGCTCACATGGCGACTTCCATCGCGTGCGCCACTGAGCGGCGCCCGCCTCTCCAATGGGGGCCTGATGGCTGGACTCTTCCGGGGTGACCTCGACAGCTCTCGTGGTGGCGTCTTCGGTGCGGCAACGACTGTGGAATCGGGCGGGGTCGGAGCTTTGCCCTGCTCCGGACCCCCCAAATTCCCTAGGGGCCGGCCAACCCCTTCTTCATGAGCGCCTCGCTCTTGGCAGCCTTGAGCGCCATCGTGCGGGCATACTCGGTCTCGCCCTGCGTCGCCCCACCACCAATCAGGTCCTCGGGAAGCAACTCCAAGTAGCGACCATAGCGTGGATCACCGTCCCTTAGGGCCATGCTCAAGGACTTAAACCTTTGCATGAACAGATCGGCTGCACCATCAATCTTTCCCCTAAGGATCATATCCAACCCCATGGCCAAAGTCCTCATCTCCCGCAGCCGGTCCTCGTGCTGATGCTTGGCAGGGTAGTTCGGGAGCAACACGGAAAGCAGGTAACGGGTGACCACCGGGGCATACTTGTCCTCACCGAGTTCCTCGTCCCCAAAAATCTCACCAACCTGCTCCCTCATATTCTCCAAGCCCTTGCAAAGCAGACGACCGGGGTGATCCTGGGCGTAGCGCCGAAGCTGCCTCCTCTTCGCCACCAAGCCACTGCCCCCACGGCCTGAGTCCAGGCCATCATCGTCCTCGTCGCCTTCGCTGTACGACTCATCAGCGACCTCCTCGAGATCGCGGGCACGACCCCGGGGCAGCAGGGCCTTCTTCAAAGCGGTGACCACCTCACCTGACCTTTTATTCTTGGCCCGCGGCTTTGACGACGAAGCAGCAGCCTGGGCCTTCTCGGCCAGCACCTTTGCTGCTCCTCCACCTTGGCTCTTCACCTTCTCATGAAGCTTGGCCTTAAGACCCTTAAGCCGGGCCTCCAAGGGCCCACCAACCGAATGGTGAACCCCCTCATCCTTCCCGGCCTCGTCCATCATGCCGTCGAGCACGTTCGCAGTCTCCTGCTCAAGGGCTGCGCTGCCTCGAACCCGCTTGCGTCCCCGCCGTCGCGGGGGCTCCTCAGCCTCCTCCTCGTCATCCTCCACGAGCTCGGGTTCCGCAGGCCCCAAAGCCAAAGCTGACTTCTTCTCGGTCCTCCTTGGTGCGGCTGCCGGCGCCGCACCCTGGCTACTTCGCCTTGGCAACGGCTGCTTTCGGCCTTGATCAGCAAACCCAGTGTAGCCCCAAGCGACCAGCAATGTATGAGCATCCTCCTTGGAGATGGGCCCCACTTTTGCACATGCACCATTTTTCGCCCCTCCTTTCTACAGCAAGTAGACAGAGACCTTCGGCAAAGGTGATGTGACCATTCTCTGGGCAACCCTCCGGGCTCGCCTTCGTGTTCTATGTACCACCGGTAGAAACTGTTCTCGCACCCCAGATATGAGAGCTCGATGTGAGCACCGCCCTCTTCAGTGGGGAAGAATCGGGTTATCCTTCCGATGGCGTAGCCAAGAGCTTCATTGGAATCGCCTAGTGCCTCGAAGATAATAAAATCTTCTAAAGTCCCGTAGGCATCCTCAAAAGCCTCCAAAGTCAGCCGAGCCCCCTGATACAACAGGGGTATGGGAGGTGGCCCGACATCACCTGTGGACCCTCTCCTCATGGGGCCCGAAGGCCAAAAGATCGACCCTAAACAACCACTGGCCAACACCAGCAAGCTACCAACGGGCCTTGAGATGAAAAACTACGACGGAACGGCCTGATGAAAAGCTCAGCTGATCACAAGCACAAGTTCACACAACACAGAGTCTCGTGATTCACATGATTCCATGGTGTATAACCCTTCTAGATCTGCACGATGGTTACCTCCTGTCTGTGCTGCCTTGCCCAAAAAGATACAACTCTGTAGTTGCCTATGACAGATCTGTACAAGGCCAAGTCTAAAGCGACTTACTCAGATACTAAGTTGATAAAGGGATGATCTTCCTGCCTACCCTCACCCACTCTTGCAGAAGCAAGACTTGAGACTTCATGAATGCGAATGACTCATCTTTGAGCCCAGGGAACCCAACAGCTCTAAACCCTAAACCCTAAACCTTAAAGCCTAAACCCTAAACCCAACAGCTCTAAACCCTAAACCGGGCCTAAACCTTAAAGCCTAAACCCTAAATCCTAAACCCTAGCCCATAAACCCTAAACCCTAAGCCCCTAAATCCTAAACCCTAAACCCAACAGCTCTAAACTCAAAGCCTCTCCCCGAGGCGCCAGCGCAGGGGTGGTGAGTGGTAGCGGCGTGGAGCTGTGGGAGTCGGGAGACGCCTGCGCCTCCCAGGTTCGGCATTTCGGATTTTAGGGCGCAGCTACATCCCTTCATTTAACTGTCTGGTGCTTAGTAGGGAATGGGGGAATGGATCCCTATGATAGTCCCTTAAGGTCCCTTATAGTAGTCCCTATAACCCATTCCCCCATTCCCTACTAAGCACCAGACAGTTAAAGGAAACTACAGGTGGGGAGTTTAGGGTACATAGGGCTTCTGTAAGGCTGACCTTGTGTAAGGCTCCTATAACGGTACCCACCTGAAAATGTCCTATGTTCCAAGCTACATAATAATACCGCAGCCTCCGACCACCTACGTTTTTTAGGACGACGTATGTGAAGAAATCATCACCGGGAATCCTATATAGCAAAACTGTGGGTCGTTCTGCGGCGTTGCTAGAGTCTAGGGCCTAAGCCCTTATTTTTCTAGGGTTCAAGGTGCGGACAGTTTGCAGAGTGTCGCCTGGCACATCTCCGCTGTACGGTGCTGCTTTCGGAACTTTGAAGCCCCATCGGTTGTAGTGTTAACGCGATTCATCTTCTTTTTATTCTCCTCATTACTATTTCGGCTATTCCATGTTACTATGAAAACTACAAATTACTAGTACCACGATTAGCACGATGATTGTCACTGATTGGTATTATTCTTCTTGTTCTTCGTATTCTTCTTATTTTTATGACTACTTACTATTATTATTACTATCACTATACTATTATTACTACTATTCCTATTATTAGTTTTATTACTATTATTTCGATTATTACTATTATTACAGTTATTACTATTATTACTATTACTACTATTATTACTATTATGACTGTTATTCTTACTGTACTATTGCCCCCGAAAGCCTACGTAGGAAGCAAAGCCCGAAACCCTAAACCTTTAAGGGTTCAGGGTTTCGGGTTTAGGGTTTAGGGCTCAGGGTTCGGGGTTTAGAGTTTAGCGGTTTAGGGTTTAGGGTTTAGGGTTTAGGGTTCGGGGTTTAGGGTTAAGGGTTCAGGGTTCGGGGTTTAGCGTTTAGCGGTTTAGGGTTTACGGTTTATATAGGGCTCGGGGTTTAGGGTTAAGGGTTCAGGGTTCGGGGTTTAGGGTTTAGCCGTTTAGGGTTTAGGGTTCGGGTTTAGGGTTTAGGGTGTAGGGTTTAGAGTTTCGGGGTTTAGGGTTTGGGGTTTAGTGGTTTAGGGGTTCAGGGGTTTAGGGTACTAAACCCGACAGCCCCAAGAGCATACGAAGCAAAGCGCCTCTGGATTTCGCCGGTTTGCATGCCGGACAGGGCTTCGGACGTAGCCACCGTCAAGAGGTTCCTTCACAAACAGAATAGACTTAGGGTTTAGGGGTTCGGGTGTGGGGTTTAGGGTTAAGGGATTTAGGATTTAGGGTGTTGGGCTTCGGATGACTATTGGTTCTAGTCTTACAATACATACTTCAACTTCCACCATTTCCACTCCCCCGGTCACCGCCACTGCAACGATGACGATGACTCCGAGAATGACTACGACTGCGACCACCACCACCACCACCACCGCCGCCGCCGCCGCCGCCACCAACACCACGACTAGTACTACCACTACCTTAAGAACTGCTTGAGCACCGAAGCCGAACATCAGCCTGGAATTCCATGCGCAGCAAGCCCGAACAACAGAGTAATGGACGTTCGACGGCCTTGGGCTTAATTGCGGTTTTGGTATACACAGACTGCCAGTATGGTGGATTGGGTATGCATGGCGGGTTTGGCTGGCCTCAGGCCAATTCAGAGCTTATAAGCCTTACTACTGTGTCATTCATTCCAGGGTGAACGTTTACGGTTACGGGTCGCATTAATGAAAGGCTTACCACTGGATCCATGCATGGCAAGGGCTCCGGGATGCAAATATCCTAGTGCAGCATGTCAGTTTTCACCATCTACCGGTACAGTCTAATTACCATAGCATACCAAACACATCCTGCACTATAAAACTAGTAAGAAGCCTTACCCTGCAACCTAAACGGCCCTAAACCCTAAATTCTGAACCGTATGGAGACGACATTGCTATATGGCGCTGTATAGGATATCCAAAGCCTGTGCCCAGCATCCTTCGCAATCATGCCGCTGTGTTGGAGAGCTTTGGGCTTTGGGGCGACCCGGATTTAGAGCGCCAGGGTTGAGGGTTTTAGGGTTTAGGGTTTAGGGTTTAGGGTTTAGGGTTTAGGGTTTAGGGTTTAGGGTTTAGGGTTGGGGGCTTGGGGAAAATTCGGATTTGATAGATCCAACAACCCCTAAACCCTAAACCCTCACACCCGACATAATATAGGGGCCTTAATAATTAGAATAGGGTTTTGGGGCCCATTATTCTACAGTTATAACAAGGAACCCCCCAAGTAATATAGGCAATGATTTAGGCCCCTACATTACTACACTGAAAAGCCCTAAACCTCAAGCCCGCAAGAGCTCCCGCACCTGGCCCTCTATCCAGTTCGCTCGACACCGCCTCTTCCCACGCAGTCGCCTGGCAGTTTGGACCCTAAACCCTAAACCCTAAACCCTAAACCCTAGGGTTTGGAGTTTTCAGCGACTTTTCGGTTTGCCCTGAACGCTCATAAAAAGCACTACACCCCCCCCAATGAAAAGAAAAACATACAAATCTGCGAGCTTTGGCGCTAGCACCCAGAACTACCCAAAACCCCAGAACATCCACAGCTGAAAGTAAGCACCCTATTCCCTCAACGCCCCAAAACCTTAAGCTCCAAACCTCGAAGGTACCAGACCCTGAAACCCTACAGCCCTCGACGCAAAATACCTGACAAACTCCTGCTGCATAAACCGACGCAAAATACCTGACAAACTCCTGCAGCCTAAACTTCGCACACCGACACGCGGAAGATCGGAAACCGAAGCAGCCGAGCCTGTGATCGTTGCCAGGGTCATCTTCGGGTCCTGGCAGTTTAGAAGTTCAGGGCTTCGGGTTTTGGGCTTAGGGTGTTGGTTTTGGGGTTTTGGATTTGGGGGTTTAAGGTTTGGGGTTTTGGGCTTAGGGTTTTGGGCTTAGGGTGTTGGTATCGGGGTTGTGGATATGGGGGCTACGGTTTGGGAGTTTGGGTTTGGGGTTGAAGGTTCAGGAGGGTTTAGGGTTTACAGCATAGCTTGACTTGTCTCGGTTACCGGTAGTCTGGCTCTGATTGCTGACTCTTCGTTCGCGTAGTCGTTCTGACTATTGCTGCGGCTTCCACGGCGACAGCGGTAAAGACAACGGCAAAACTAATCTACTCCTCCATTTGGGGATATTCTGACCACGGCTAGTACGTAGTGAGTACATACCAGCACGATCACTTCCCTCACCAGCACCACTACCAGCACCACATCGACATCGACGGCGAGAACCCCCGTGCACGCTGAACTGCAAACTCTACACCCTTCAACTCTTCCGGACAGAGGTGAACCCCGAGCCCCAGAAGCACCTAAACCGGTGCAAGACTTTTTCTGGCTTCCTATGCAACACTACTGTGAAACCCTAGGCCCTGCATCATTCTGAATCCGAACCCCAAACACTCACCACCAGAAAGATGATACAGAACCCGTATTACAAACCCTTGCAAACCCAAAAAAAACTACCTTACCCGATGACAACCTGAAACAAGTCGGCATAAATTCCCATAAAGCCCCAAACCTTAAGCCCTAATCCCAAACCCTGAACCCTA